GCCCGGAGTCCTCCGGGAGTGGGCGGCATACAAGACAAATTAATTAATTAATTAATTAATTAATTCAACAAAACACCTTTTTATTCTTTATCTTTAAATTGACACATTTTCAGAATTAAAGATGTTATTTTAATTCCATCCCCCTGCATGATACCTGGTTTTTTTAAAATCAAAGATGTCTTGCCTGTAGCATTTTATTTAATAAGCTAGGTAGGGGAAACCTATCAGTTAAAATTATGCTCTTTTTATTGTCATTGATGACTTTGCTTTTACCCACAATAATGGCTTGATTATGGTTGATTTAATGAAATGTAGTACTGTATTTAAAAGACTGGAAACCACTCAGAAATTCATCTCTTAGTTAAACTATAAACATGTCAGTTATCATATCTAACTCTGGGTAATACTTAAATTGAATCTGACCTGTTAGTATTTGGCTGGACTAGAATTCCAGGGAATCTTAAAGCTATAAGCAAGACTGGACGGGGGTAGTTTATTTGTTTGATTTTTACAGAAGGTGGTAAAGACAAATAATTGAATTTAGTTCATGAGTTCATTTTGTGTTTTGGATTCAGCAGGAAGATGTGGTGGAGGCAATAAAGTTGACGTATTTTACAGGTTTGCTTGAAAGAATCGCCTCTGGAATGTTGCATATAGTCTCCCAAGTTCAAGAAGATGCTGTCAGGCCTAGAAGCCATCTTTTGCATTGGACCTTCAAGCCTGCCACATATAATACTGTGGGAAACTGAGAGAGGGGAATATACGGAGTAGGATAGATATAGTCAAAATAACGTTCTTTTCTCTGAGAGTCAAGGACGTTTTGCCCTGCACCTGTAGTGGTGTGACTGGGAGGCTTCTCCAGTTGGGACAATGCCTGATTGGACCATGTGATGGACATGTGGGTGCTGGGAAGGGACTTGAACTTTAGTTTGGGTGTGGGAAACCTGGAGGGTTTCAGATTCGGATCTTCTCAGATATGCCAACATGACATCTCTAATAAAATGGAACTTTGAGGAATCTCAAGCCTTGGAGTCTTCTTTCATTAGGGGTGTTACTTGGAACCCTGACATTAATCCGAATCCCTTTTAAAAACTCAACCAGCTTCCCTGAACTCTGGAGGGTGTTCTCCGGGATCCTGGGCCCTGACGTCGACCCGAAATCGGACAGTGTGAAGACTCAGGGAAGATGACAGATGCTTCCTAGATACTGTTTATGATTTGCTTTTCCCCCAGATTTGTGATATGATGTGAAAAATATTTTTGCTTCCATTCCAGCTACTGGACAGAAAATGGGAAACACTTCCAAGGAAAAAAATCCAGGACAAATACAACTATACAGAAAAGTGGAAGGAATACCCCAGAAGAATAATTCCCAGGAAGAAGAAGCTTCTAAAAACCAGAAGAGAACAGGAAAACAAAATGCCAAAAACTCTGGATCCAGAAGAATAAAGTCGATCATGTTACAAGGAAACTCCAAGGAACAGCCAATTCAGCAAAGAAAGCGAGTGTCCAAGAAACAGCATCGGTGTCTTGATTGTGGGAAAATCTTCAACAGAACCTCTGCTCTCAGTGCCCATCAGAGAGTCCACACAGGTGAAAAGCCTTACAAGTGCACTGAATGCGAGAAGAACTTCAGCAAGAGTTCACACCTCATTGCTCACCAGAGAATCCACACAGGAGAAAGACCCTACACTTGTTTGACCTGTGGGAAAAGTTTCAATCACTCTTCCCATGTGATTATCCACCAGAGAACTCATACAGGGGAGAAACTTTACAAGTGTTTAGAATGTGGGAAAAACTTCCGATACAGTTCTGATCTCATCAGGCACCAGATTGAACATGCAGGTGAAAAACCCTTCCGGTGTTCAGACTGTGGGAAATGTTTCAATCGGACCTCCAACCTCCTTATCCATCAGAGGATACACACAAAAGAGAAACCCTACAAGTGCCTTGAATGTGGGAGAAACTTCAGTTACAGCTCAGTTCTTATCAGGCACCAAAGAGTGCATTCCTCTGAGAAGCCTTTTAAATGCTTAGACTGTGGAGAAGGTTTCCATGCGAACACAAGCCTTCTCACACACCAGAGGATACATACAGGAGAGAAACACTATTCATGTTCGGAGTGTGGGAAAAGCTTCAGGTGGATATCACATTTAAATAGGCATCAGAAGATCCACACTGTAGAAAAGTCTTAGGGGGAGGGGGGGAAACCACACTTAGAATAACAGAGTTGGAAGGGACTTTGAAGGTCTTCTAGTCCAACCCCCTGCTTAGGCAGGAAACCCTACACCAGGGATAACCAGACAAATAGTTATCTAATATCTTCTTACAAACTTCCAGTGTTGGGGCATTCACAACTTCTGGAGGCAAGTTCCACTGATTAATTGTTCTAACTGTCTGGAAATTTCTCCTTAGTTCTAAGTTGCTTCTCTTCTTGATTGGTGTCCACCTATTGCTTCTTGTTTTACTCTCAGGTGTTTTGGAGAATAGCTTGACTCCTCCTTCTTTGTGGCAATCCCTGAGATATTGGAAGACTGCTATCATATCTCCCCTAGTCCTTCTTTGCATTAAACTAGACATACCCAGTTCCTGCAACCGTTCTTCATATGTTTCTATATAAATCTGAACACTAGGAAATCATCTAGGAGTTCCAGTTGAAGATGCACTCTATTTTTGGATGCTATATTTTTCTTTTTTCCCCTCTAGCCAAGATAAAATACGTTGTTTTGATCTAATGTTTAGATTGTAAGCAACCCATGCACAAGAACATTCTTTACAAAGTAAAGCATAACGTAAGCATAACATTTTCCTGCTGCACCTGACTTTTTAAGAAGATTATTTTCAATTAAAAAAAACGAATGGGAAATTGATATTTCTCAAAGCACCAACTGCTAATAATGTGTGTAATTTGATGGAATGCCGTGGGTGTTATAAAACTGTGAGCATTCTTAGAAAATAAATATAGTGAGATGTTGTAACCTAGTTGTTTCCTGGACATGGGTTCAATCACTCCTCTTCCTATGTTCTCAGAACAGAATATCCAATTTTGTTATTTTACTCATCCAGACTCTGACTACTCCTGAACTAGCTTCTGCCTCCAAGCTCAAGGAAATACTGGGATGGGGAACCAACCAACAGAATCTACAAGATTAAACTGCATTGTCTCCAAGATAGAGAATTCATTGTAAACACAGCCCTTTGTACCTGCCTTGCCTGGAATACACAAATTGCTGAGGGGAATATAGAATCCCCCAATTTTAGGAGAAAAAATCGTAAGAATCCCAGTTCTACAACTCTCAGCAAATTATGTAACATGCAAAATCCAAGCCATTCAGAAGCTTGTGGCTAGCAAACATTACTCAGATACCTGTGCATTTTAATACAGGTAGGAATCTGTCTCCTACCCACTATTGGGAGATAAAAGATAGGATGAAAGAGTGCCTAAACAAATGATCAATATAAAAATTAAACTGGAGATATCTCTCCTCTCTTTTTTGAAAAGTTGAAGATGTCCAACAAATCCTCAGACAGGTGTTTTCATACAGGCATAAATGAGTGAAAGAAACATGATTTATTATGGAAATTTCCAATGATTTCCATAATTTTTTCCTTGTAGTACTGTAAAGTCAAAAAGTATTTGGAAATCAAGAAAAGCAAAAATGCTAATATGTAGCATATTACTCAGCCAAATGATATAAAATGAAACGTCCATCTACAGATTGGCTTACCCACAAATTAGCATTTCTATTCACAAAAATGTGTTCACTAGGCATCCAGGAGTGGCCTGCATAAAGTTTGCAAATTCCATGTACTTATATGACTGGATGGTAATTTGACAATCGTCTTTCCTCCTTTTTTTATATTTTTAGGTGGTTAAGGTGCTAGCCTAGAAATCAGAAGACTGGCTTGGTAACTTTGGGAAGGCCACTCTCTCTCTCAGTTCAACCCACTTCACAGGGTTGTTGTTACAGGGAAATGGGAGATAGGAGTATATTTTGAGATATATTAAAATGGCAGGATAAAAATATAATAATATATGGATAGTAAGTGCAAGGCATCAGACACCAAGAATCTTTGATATGCTGAGAATTTTATTTTATCACAGAGATTCATCCAAAAATAGTTCCTTCTATTTAATGTATAGGGATGTGGTGGCTCAGTGGCTAAAATGCTGAGCTTGTTGATCAGAAAAGTCAACGGTTCGAATCCCTAGCCCTGCATAATGGAGTGAGCTCCCGTTACTTGTCCCAGCTTCTGCCAACCTAGCAGTTCGAAAGGCTGTAAACATGCAAGTAGAAAAATAGGAACCACCTTTGGTGGGAAGGTAACAGTGTTCCATGCGCCTTTGCTGTTTAGTCATGTCAGCCACATGACCACGGAGACATTGTTGGATAGCACTGGCTCTTTGGCTTTGAAACGGGGATGAGCACCGCCCCCTAGAGTTGGGAACGACTAGCACATATGTGTGAAAGGAACCTTTACCTTTATTTAGCGTATATGGAAATTTCCTCATAATTCTGTCATCACATTTTAACATCCTAGATAATGCATATATAATGGCGCAGTGGTTAAATGCAGCACTGCAGGCTACTNAAGGTACATCACTTAATGATAGTCATAGGGTACAAATAAGAATCAAATCATATTAGGAAACAATCAATATAAATCGTGAGGATACAAGGAATAAAGTTACAGTCCTACAGTCGTAAGTGGGAGGAGATGGGTGATAGGAACGATGAGAAGACTAATAGTAATTAGTAATGCAGACTTAGTAAATAGTTTGACAGTGTTGAGGGAATTATTTGTTTAGTAGAGTGATGGCGTTCGGGGGAAAAACTGTCCTTGTATCTAGTTGTTCTGGTGTGCAGTGCTCTATAGCGTTGTTTTGAGGGTAGAAGCTGAAACAGTTTATATCCAGGATGCGAGGTTTGTAAATATTTTCACAGCCCTCTTTGACTCGTGCAGTATACAGGTCCTCAATGGTCCTCAGGTTGGCAGTAATTGTTTTTTTCTGCAGTTCTAATTATCCTCTGAAGTCTGTGTCTGTCTTGTTGGGTTGCAGAATCGAACCAGACAGTTATAGAGGTGCAGATGACAGTCTCAATAATTCCTCTGTAGAACTCTATCAGCAGCTCCTTGGGCAGTTTAAGCTTTCTAAGTTGGCGCAGAAAGAACATTCTTTGTTGTGCTTTGCAAATTTGCACCATTTGTTAAAACTTTATTGTGTTAACCAAGGTTAGTTCACCGTGGCACCCAGCGTGGCTGTGTGGCTGATGTCTGAATGGGTGGGGTAACCACTAGGGAATTCCCAGAAGTGTTGGCTAGATATGAAAGTTAAAAAATGAAGAAAGTGAAGTTCACTGTCACATCATTGTCCAGATAGTTGTGTGGAAGAGATCACCAGGCGTCAAGTTTGATTGGAGGAGGTTTATTGGACTGACCCAATCTACATGTTTAATTCATTTTGTAAATCCAGAAAATGGGTTAATTCAATAGCAAAGTTAGTAGATTGTGTCAACATGGCCACTAAGTCCCATGCATGCTATTGATGCCACATTATTGTGGTGTGACAGAATGGGATTAAGGCCAACTGGGAAGCATTATCCTAGGAATAAGGAGTGAATATGCACAACTTTGCTCATAAAACAGCTCCTTTTTTGAAGTTGGTAGAGCTTCTCTACAAGTACAGAGAGTCCTTGACTTACAACCATTCATTTAGCAATAGCAATAACACTTAGACCACTTCACAGTGCTTTTACAGCCCTCTTTAAGCGATTTACAGAGTCAGCATATTGCCCCCTTCCATCCTTCCGAGGTGGGTCCTCATTTTACTCACCTCGGAAGGATGGAAGGCTGAGTCAACCTTAAGCCATTGAGATTCAAACTGCTGAACTGCAGCTAGCATTCAGCTAAAGTAGCCTGCAGTAGTTCAGCACTAACCACTGTGCCACCTGTGCTGTCTCATTTAGTGATCATTTGAAGTTACAATGGCACAATCAGTCTTCACACTTACATATAATCAAAATCTGGGTGCTTGGCAGCTGGCATGTATTTATGATAGTTGTAGCGTCCTCAGGTCATGTGATCGCCATTTGCCACTCTCCCAGCCAGCAGCTGCTGTGCTTGCAAGAGAAATGCTGATCTCAGTTATAGTCAACAGAGGACAACTTACTTTGTATAAGTACAAATCGGGTAAATGTCTATGGAAATTCTCAAGTCATCCAGGTGATGGTTGTCCCAAGGGTGCTTTTTCAAGCAAAGAAATGGTTGATTGTGGTAATAAGAGTTTGGCAAATGGAAAATTATAATTTGTTTTTCTGTATGTCCTATAGAAAAGTGTTGCTTGGCTAAAAATGGCATCGTTTATTATTGCTTTAAAGCCCCTCTAAAATCCAGCTGCTGTATTCTTGACTGGGTCCTTGGAGTGTTAGAAATCCAAATCTATTATGCCATGACAACCCAGGTTGAGTAGGATATGGAGTAGGAAAAATATACTGTAGGTAGATTCTGACACTAATAAACAATTTTTGTAAAAAAAAATACGTCTTCAACTCCAACTCAGAAATAAATTAGTGCCTTTACTGGATAGTTTGTCCAGCAAGATCTGTCCCTTTCTCCTTCTCCATGCCCCACTTTCCCTTTGTCTCCTCCTTTCCTAATTCTCTTCCATTGCCCAACAAGATGTCTTTGCCATACTTTGTTGGATCCTACTCTTAAGATTTTCCAGCTTGTTGCTTTCAGACATTTTAGGATACAGTTCCCATCATCCAAGCTCGGGAAGGCAGAATGGGAATCATTACTGTATTTGTACTGTACTGATGTACTGTAAGATGCACTGAAGTATAATAAACACCAAGATTTTGAAGAGGCAAATAAAAAAAAGTTTTTGCAATTGCAGACATCCCAAAAATGGCCCATTTTTCACGAAAGGGGCCAGTTTTTTGGTCAAAAAAAGGGCATGCATAGCCTTTAGGAGGCTTGCAGAGTGCTCTTGGGGGCTGAGGGGACAAAAACTAGCAAAAAACAGCCCTCCGGAGCTCTGAAAGCCTCCTAAAGGCTATGCACGGCCATTTTGGTGAAGGGGGCGTGGTTTTGGGAGGCCAAAAATGCTGTATTCAGTGTATAAGATGCACCCAGATTTTCACCCTTTTTGAGAAAAAGGTGCGTCTTATACTACGAACAATATGGTATACAGTTTATTTGAATGAGATTAGGCTAGAAAAAAGTTAATTTTAAAATTTTTAAATGGGTTCGCAGACAATTTCTAAATCAAAGGGCAACAGGATTTGCCAATTTAGTGTCTGGGAATATATATATATGAACATATATAACTACAGATCCTTTACAAAGTCTTTGGAAAAGTATTGACAGAGATGGAACGTATTTTAAGCAGATTTATTTATAACTGATGAAAGTATCCCTGTTTTCAAGAATGGTGATTGAAAATATTCCAAGTACATAATTAGTATAAAATTTGTCAGATTCTAAAGTGGCAATTGTGTTTGGTCATGGAGAGATGAATACATGGCATACAATTACTCTAAAAGAGCAACAGATTGAAACTAGCATAGGCTTTTGTGGAGTGCAATTCACTTCTTAGGAAAATTGCAGAAAGGCATGCAGTAGAATCCAAATACTTCCGACTGCATTCACTTTCAGCCTTTAATTTCTTTCTGTGTGGATTTGTTTTTGAACTTGTCAATATTTAATATTTAACCATAATAAAGATAAAAACCAACATTATAAAGCTGTCCCACAAAGAAGATGTGAAACATTCCAAAAAGATATCAAAAGCTATCAATCTGTCCCCAAAACTTGATAAAATGGCTGCATGAAATGGTCCCATAGCTTCAGTTGAGGAGAAAAGTGACTATAGTCGCACGGCGAGTGAAAAAAGGCACACCAGTAGCAGCAGCAAAACCTGAGGGCCATTTCCATGCTCTGGGAGTACCTCACACATCTAGAGCGAATACTATCTGGTTTATTTCTCAAGACCAGTCCTAAGTGAGGACTTAGCTCAGGAGGCGGCCTAACTGCAGAGGCAGCAAATCAATAGTTTCTCCTGAAAAATCAGGGCTGCTGCCAATTGATTTCTCTCCAAGGAGGTGGAGAAAAATCCAAGGTGGCAGCTGAGAATAATACAGTACATGAATCTTCAGGCTTGGGCTCAATCCTTGTGCTCTGTAATTCGCACCTGGGCTGAACCCGCTAGATGGCAGTAGAGAACTCTTTCCCTCATCAAATCCCGTGTGTTGCTTCTGTTGCTAAGGTAGAGGGAAGGCGAAAGTACCGGACCTGAGTGAAAACTTCATTCTGGCTAAAATCCGTTTTCGGAGTTAAATGGCAGAATAGCTGTACAATATTGGCTGTTCCTGTGAAAACCTGAGGGTAGAGAAGACCGAGCAAGGGAAAATATAGGGGAGAGGGGAAATTGATGACCCTTTTGTTTCTGCTCGTGAAGCATGACAAGGGACAGGTTGGCTGTTGTTGTGAAGCAAGGCGGCTGCCGCCCTGCATGGTCCTAACTTGGATATCGTTGGACTTAAGCGAGCCTCTTTTTTCCATATCTCGTGTGTTTCCTGGACATTACAATTCCTTATCAGAAAAATATAGCGTGACCATAGAGATTCCATATAACTATCCCACCCTCCAAATTTGGAGTCTTATATTTGTAATCCTGTTTCCTCACCAATTTTTAATTCCCCCCCCCATGTCATTTAAAACTCATTCTTTTTGAGGAGATGGGGGAAATGATATAATTTATTAATATTAACATAATCAGTGTAATGATTATCAAATTCATTTTAGTATTTGTATGATGATAATCGATATTTATATTGCGCTTAAAACCAAGTGCAATATAAAAGTCCAAAATTAAAAGTCCAGGGCAGATGGATGGCATACAAATTTAATAATTTTAAAAAATAAATAAATAAAATTATCAATTAAACCTGAGGG